GACAGTGGTGGAGAGCGGTGGGTCGCCATTGTCCGTCACCTGGACAATGAGCTGCTGCGCTGCCACGTCGGTGTCCTGGAGGGCACGCGCCGTCCGCACCTCCCCGGTGTACAGTGACACGTGGAACAAGGAGGGGTCGGTGGACTGTGGCAGCAGTCGGTATGAGAGCCAGGCATTGTGCCCAGCATCTGCATCCACTGCTGTCACCTTGGTGACCAGGTAGCCCGGTGGGGCAGACAGCGGGAGCTTCTGGGGTGCTGGGATGTCACTGTCACTGGCAGGTTGCAGGATGGTGGGGGGGTTGTCATTCTGGTCCAGCACAAAGATGTAGACAGTAACATTGGCATGGAGTGGGGGGGACCCCGAGTCCCGCACAGCCACAGAGACCGGCAGAACCTGCAGCAGCTCAAAGTCAAAGGTGCGCTGAGCGTAGAGGTTGCCATTGTCAGGGTTGATGTGGATGAAGGAAGAGGTGGGGGCACCGTGCACTTGGCCTCTCTCTATGGAGTAAACGAGACGGGAATTATCCCCATCATCAGGGTCCGAGGCAGAGACGGTGCACAGCAGGGAGCCAGGTGGGTTGTTCTCTGGGAGGAAGGCATCGTAGGAGGGCTGCAAGAAGTGCGGGGCGTTGTCATTCACGTCTGATATGTTGAGGAGTAGAGTGAGCGTCATGGTGAGGGTGGGAGACCCACCATCCTGGGCGATCAGCTCCACTACGTACCGTGAGGTGGACTCTCGGTCTAGGCTCTCCTGGGTGACCAGGGAGAAGTGGTTCTGAAGGGACCTGATGGCGAAAGGCACATTGGGGGAGATCTCCAAGCTCACATCCCCATTGGCCCCTGAGTCTCGGTCCCGTACATTGAAGAGCCCCACGACAGTCTCTGGTGGGGTGTCTTCTGGCACTGGGTTCAACAGGGAGGTGAGCAGCACCTCTGGGGGGTTATCATTGGCATCCTCTACTTCCACCTGCAGTATGCAGTGGCCCTCCATCTCTGGGACCCCTCTGTCATGGGCTCGCACATAGATCTCATAGAAAGGTGATTCCTCGAAGTCCAGGGCCCCACTTACCCGGACCTCACCGCTGTGGGGGTCCAGGGCGAAGAGCCTCCGGACCGAGTCGGAGGTGTGAACCCCAAAGGAATACTGTGTCTCCCCATTGGGGCCCTCATCAGGGTCAGACGCATTGAGCCGGAGGAGCAGGGCCCCCATGGGCGTGTTTTCCAGGACTTGCACCTTGTACATGGTGCGGTCAAAGGTGGGCGCGTTGTCATTGACATCCAGGACCAGGACCGTTATCTGCGCCGTGCCCAAGCGGGCTGGGCTTCCCCCATCCATGGCTGTCAGCACCAGCTGCAGTTCTGGCTGCTCTTCCCGATCCAGGGCATGCTCCAGCACCAGCTCCGGGAAGAGTTTGCCATCCTGCTGCTGCTTGACGTCCAGGGAGAAGTGGGAGTTGGGGCTCAGCTGGTAGGAGCCCACGGCATTGGTGCCCACATCGGGGTCCTGTGCACTCTCCAGGGGGAAGCGTGCAGCCACTGTGGCAGACTCAGCAACACGCAGGGTGCGGTGAGCAGTGGGGAAGCTTGGGGAGTTGTCATTCAGGTCCAGGATCTCCACTTCCAGGCGGAAGAGCTGCAGGGGGTTCTCTTTCCCCACCTGCACCGACAGCACGCAGCTGGCAGCTGCTCCACACAGACGTTCCCGGTCCAGCTGCTGGCTCACCACCAGCACACCGCTGTCCAGGTGCACGGCGAAGTGGCGCAGGCTCTCCTCCGAGCCCAGGCGCAGCCTGCGACCTGGCAGCTCCTCCACCTTCAAGCCCAGGTCCCGGGCCACATTCCCCACCACGGTTCCCACCTCTGACTCCTCAACCACCGAGTAGTGGATCTGCCCAGAGACCCAGCCCCAGCCACAGAGCAAAAACAAACTCAGTACTTGCCATTTCCAGGCAGATCGCTGGAGGCTGATGCTCTCCATGTCCATGCACGTCTGGCCTGGGACACAGCAGGCACTGGGGAGCTGCAAAAAAATCCCTCGGTCTCTGGGTCTCTCATCCACAGCTTGGAAAACAGCTCCGGGGCTCCGGCAGGCTACAGCTCCGGCTGTCAGCCTCCTGAGCAGAGGGGGTGGGCTGGGGGAGGGGAACTGAATCACAGCCCCAGCGCGGAGGTGGAAGGGGTGGGGGGAGAAGCAAATTCCTCCCCCCCACCACCCCGCTTCAGATCAGCGCCCAATTGGCTGAGAGCTCCATCCCCTCTCGGCCAGCAGTGGCTCCCCGAAGGTGGGGGAAGCAGGGGCCTGAGCCGGCGTCAGCGGGGCTGCCACCCCCGGCCTCCCCTCCGCCAGCCTGAGTCACTTGCTCCAACTGCTCGCTTCCCGTTCGCAGGGAAACTGCACGTCCTGGCAGCCTGGAAGCTAGGTACAATCACTCCCTGTGCACTCCCCCTTCCACAATGGTGGCTTCACATCGCACCCACAGACAAAGGGCAGCTGTCATGAATGCAGGCCAAAGGACTTTTCATGCCCGATGAAAAGGTGCTTGTTGGAGTCCTGAGGTGCCAGGGGCTCTTCTCCCACCTCTTTTCTCCACCCCAGCTAATAATGCTTTGGCCACTGCCTGCACCCTGTGATTGCCTTTGTGAGGTATCACTGCCACCAGTACCCCCTTCAGCCAGGAGACCTCGCACCGAGACAGGGACGGCCACCCTGCCAGCGCCCCGTGGGTGTCGGAGGCAGAAGGTGGGAAGGCAGAGATGGGTGAGCCATTCAAAGCCAAAATGCCATTGCTCCTCACACACACATCTCTGGACACCCGTCCCTCATGCTGGGACAATGAAGGGGTCAACCATCACAGTACCCAAATCACTGCAAACACACGGAGCCAGACAACAAGCCCACTAGACCACCACCAGATCGCAACATCAGGTCAGGACATCAGCCTGGGAAAGAGGCCCGAGCCTCCCACCTGGCAGACATGTACACTGAAATTCTGCAGCACACAGCTTTGCATCCAAGCAATCTCCCGAAGGGCAAAAGCAGGGATCTCAGCCTCCACAGGGGAGAGTGGAGCAGTACTTTCCCCCTCTCCCTGTCCCAGCGGATGGTGGCAAGCTGCAGGGTGTTTGCTCGGTTCATATCCCTGCAGAAGCCATGTGCAGTCATGCCCTGCAGTCCTGTCCTGGGTGCACTCAAGGCCACCCTGACCTCCCTTGGGTGCACGCAGACCCTGGGGGGCTGGGGTCTGCAGCGGTGCAGCAGGCAGGGGAGCCAGCTCCCTGCCTGTCCCCACCACACAGGGCACCAAGGGGACCTAGGGGAATACGTGAGAGAGGCTGGGGGCACCCATGCCGGGCACAGTGGACGGTGACATGGACACCATCCTTCTGGGCGAGCCCAGAGATGGTGGAGGTGCTGCTGCCAAGGTGCCTCCCTGCCATCTGCGGCCCCTCCCTGCCCATTCCAAGAGCCACGGGGCGGGACCACCCTGCTGCCAGTCAGGGAGAGACCGAGCAAGGAACCTCGCGATTGGTGCAGAACACCGCCCGGGTCCCACCTACTGCCTGCTGCGGGGCGGGGGCGGGGGGAGAAGGCATTCTTAAAGGGCCAACGCAGAAAAAAGCTGGGCAAGTGGATTACCCAGCGTCCAGAAACCGATACCTGCTTGGACGTACTCATTCCCCGAAGGCTTCCAACGCTGCCACCAGCAGGAAGCTGTCGCAGTAACCCTGACTCTGGGCTGTGCCCTGTCCTGTCCCTATCCCAGGCAGGGACCCAGACAGCACAGCTGGGTGACAGATGTTGCCACTGGCAACACGGGGTGCTGCGCCCCTGGGAATGGGTTTGGTGCTGCTGTGGTGCCTCAGTAGAAGCCCCCTGTGAAGCCCACATGGTCTGGGAGAATCCACTCAGTGTCCTGAGGTGGCTTGGTCACCAAGGGGCTGGAGCAAGGGATGGGCTTCACACAGGGGATCCTGATGTTGCTTGGGTCTTCCAAAGCCCAGGATGGGGATGGTTGCAAGGCAGGAAGGGTATGGTGTGTCTAGGCTGGAGAAGGAGATGTCCCCGTTCCAGAAGGCCCGAGCTCACCCTGTGGAAAGGCTCCAACCCAGATGGCCCAGGGAGCTGAGGGATCACTGGACATCCTGCAGGGTAGGATCCCTCATGGCAGGACATGCCCCCTGCCACAGATGGAGCCAGCACCATCCCCATAGCATCAGTTTTGGGGTCTGGCTGTTGCTCTGCAGAGCAAAGAGGTGTAAAGCCTTTGCAGGCTTGACACAATCCATGGCATTGGGCTGGATCTTCTTTGACCACAAAGACTGAAAATACAGGGCCCAGTGCAGCCCAGCTGGTTTCTCACTGCCAGTTCCTTTCCAGTGTAGTACTGGGGAGCAGGGGGGAGCCATGGCTGGGGGTCGGGCTTACCACCTGCCCATTATCACCTCCTTCCATCCCCACTCTCAAATCATTTACTGCCCCCACCCCCAGAGGCATCTTGCCAGGACCTTTTGGTGGAGGGGACATCCTTGTCTCCAGCTGTAGCAGGGCCTGCACAATGCAGAGGAACACCTGCTCCTACAGCTGCTGCAGCCATTCCCACCTGCCACAAATCAGAAGTGCTGAGTCTGAGCAGTGACACAAGAGGAAAAAAAAAACGGGGGGGGGGGAGGGGGGGGAGGGGA